ATTTTGGAAATTACTAATAATAGCGAAATAAGCTTGATTTCGAATTACAATCCAGAAACGAGTGTTAATGTGAGTTAAGTGTTGCTAGTGTAAATTTCTTTGATTTTGCAGTTATATAATTTACTGAGAAAATTGAACCTAAACAGTGAGTGGCAACGGCGGACAATTTCCGTTGCTAAAGAACAAGATTGGAACGCAAAATTAATTGAACGGTATTTTGCGTTTAATGCCATAGACACATGAAAATAGACGATGTCAAAAAAAAAACCGTCAACGGTAAAATAGAAATTTAGGATATTTTACCGCCGGCGGTGAAATTTGGGGCTGTAATATCGTTTGATTCTGTACCGTCCCATTTACACATGTACATTCTATATGAATTCTGTCATTTCACCACGGAAAATCACTTTTATTCTGTTTTCAATTTCACGCTATAATAGAATTTCTGCTCAAAAGTTCTCATTCCAAAATCTAAAATTTTCAATATTTTTTCCAAAAATTAGAATCCAGTTTCAGCCAAAGGTCAACATTAAAAATTTTTTATTACAAACTTTAAATCGTTAATAATATGTTTTTGTTAAAAAAAAGTTTTCTATTAAAAAAAAACACTCCTCAATTTCTCACCTTTTCAAAAAATTATAAAGAAAGTGAAATTGTATATAAGAAGTTTTTTAAATTTAATTCAGTCGCGGTATTTATCCGATCTTTGGATTAAAAAAAATGAAGACAAAAACCAATGTGATATCAAATTACTCGAGGCAAATTATAAAATATTAATTTTACTTTGGAAAAGTAAAAAACTTAGATTTTTCTATGTAAAAAATAGTAAAAAATTTGATTTCTTTATAAATTTGCCACCATGGAATTCGCTACTGCTTTTTTGGACATTTTTATTTCAATCTATAATTTCTTCGAAATCTCATTGTTTTTATCATTATGTTAATTAAGTTATGTAGCGTATTGTATATGTGTAGGTATTGCAGATCAACTGAAATCATTAAAATTTTCTTAAGAAAAAACATCGTTGTTTAATAATTAAATAAAATTACGATAATTATTTTTAATTATTGTCTACATTTTGTAGATAATTTTTTTGTTTTTTTTAAAGAACGGGTAAAATTACGCACAAATTAATTTTCTCATACGTTTAAGTTGCAATGCAGGAAAAATTAATAGGTATACACAACATTGACACATCCAATACATTTTTTATTTAACTGAATTCATGTATACGCGAAGTTTATTGCTTACAGGGTGTATTATATTGTTACAAAACTTAGTATATAAATATACACATATTTAAAACTAAATAGTTAGGAAGGGAGAAGTGTCATTTGCATAAACTGTGCATATCGAACTCTGTCATTGGTGTAGTCTCTGCCGGGACGATGAAGAGACGAACAATCGACTGGCGGTAAGGACACTGTCTGACTGTCAGAGTCTGCGTGTGAGATGGGGCGGATTGTTGTCTGGGCTTTCTCAGTGTTGGGAAGCTCGCATTCAACTCTTTAAAAGATCAGAGATGTCTCCGGGTATCTATTTTAGACCAGGATAGTATAAATAGGATATATAGGAAGTCTACAAAAATTTCAACCTATTTTTTACTCTCTTCAATAATCTACACTTTAGGAAGGGAGAAAATAGATAAGAAAGCAACGGTTTTGGATATATTGAATTATACCTTATTTTCACATAAACGTTCTTACTTTCAGCTTTCCTCCTAGCCATCATATTAATACTCTAAATTGAAGATTTGAAATTCATTTAATTTTGCTGCGGTAAAAATTTTTAATATGTTAGAATTTTAACACCCTGTAAGTAAAAATTTCTAAAGAAAAAGAAAATGAAAACGATGAAATGAATAAATTTTTGAGGTCATTTTCACTTGTTAAGCAGTTTTGCGATGTCTTGTACTATTTTGTATTCTTAACAAAGAAGAAGTAAAATGAATTTTTCTCTTTCTCTATACTCAAATTCCATCATAGATTTAAATAAATATTAATATTGTTTCAGTTTTTTAATTTTTTTATTATTTTTGTTTTGTAAAATCTTAGAATTTCTTTCCACTTTTCTCTGCTCTTTCCAATACGTTTATGATGAACAGCATTATTTTTTTTTTTATTTCTGCTTATGTATCTACATAACTCATACGCTTTGAATGGCTTTGTAATTTTCAAAAACGTTGTAAATTTTCTTTACTCAATCTCCTCTTTAATATTCTGCTCATTGAATAATAACAACTCATTTTTATTCAATTCAACTATTGTCCAATTATTTGTAAGCTGAATTAAGTAAGATCAAGATCTAAACCTGAAAATACACAATGCTAATAAATTTATAGTATCCATGTACATATATACTATATAATTTGACTATAAATAGAGGGGTACGCATTTCCAAATTATCAAAAATCAATGAAAAAATAACATTTGTTTCACTTTTTATAAAAAACCTTAAAAATATGATGATCAACCATCATTTAATTGCTTATTGCGTTTCAATTAATACGCGACAAAGTGTAGGTGTGTATTTTAAGTTTTTGTAATAAATATGTTTGAAAATAAAGGTGAGTTTCGGGAATCATTTAAAAGACAATATGATTTTTCTCTTACCCATCATAAATACTCTATATAATGAATGACTAGTAAAAACTAATTAAATGACATTATATGAATGCCTATACATAAAGTTTTTGATTAAATAATATGAGCGTTCGTGGGAATATGCGATTAAAATGTTTTAACTGGCCCCAAAAAAGAGGCATTTTGAGAATGAAAAATTTGTTAGGTTTTAGTGATTTACCTTATTGAGACAGATATGTGACACTAACAAAAAATCTAAGCCAAAATTTCTGTTCGATATTGCAACTAAAAATTTTTATTTAGATGATTTTGACTTTACTCATATAGTTGCTATTTGATGTTGCAGCTCGACACAGTTTCCGTATGAATTTTTGCCGTATTTATCGTCTGTTTAGGTATAGCGCATACTTAATCAAATGTGCATGGTTATATCACAAACTCTTCATTTAATAACTAGTGGCACATTATTTATTAAATACAATAAAAATATTTAATTTAAAAGAAAGTAAATTATATTTTGCTTAATTAGGTACTTTAAAGCTAAATCAATACTAATTATACTTAAAATAAATTGAAAGTCAATTAAGCCATACCGACTTGACATTCAATTTTTTCTACTTACATATTTCGAATATTTCGAATATAAGTGTATAATATTTACATAAATGAACAGTTACAAGATTGCAATTTATATACAATAATTAATATTTACTAAATTAGCGTAAAATAAAAGTTAACGAGGCTTCTTCTAAAAATTTTTTAAAAATATTAAGTGTATGTCTATATATATTTGCAAAAATTTGCAATAATCGATTTTCTTATGGATAATTTAATAAGTATAATTAGGTAGTTCCTTCCTATATTTTTACTTTATTTTCACTAAAGAATAGCTCATTATTTGAAAAGTTTTTTTCTTTTTTTTTGTAAATGTTTGTTAATGGCATGGATCATAAATTTTTCCAGAAAATGGTTTAAAAAATTTTTTAGCATAAAAAAATTTCTTTTATATTTTTATGTGATGCTCTTTCACTTTTATTGGTAACGTTGAACTTTATAATATTTCTGTTTTAAGTTGTGCCTTATTTTTAGCATACATGTTCAGTAATTCCATATTCGTAGCTTAAAATAAATTAATAAGCTTGTGTCCGTTTGACGATATTGTTTATTGGTAAGTTTTTCATGACTTGTCAAGAATGACTGCTTTATAATTGAAATTTTAAATTATCAGGGAGATTCTAATTAAAAATTTATAACTTTTTTTTTTCCTATTTTAACTTTAAATTGTAAGTCATAAAGTAAGGGCATTGCATCTGATTTTTCTAATTATGTAAGTATTTTTCTTAATCATTATTTTGTTTCATAAATATATATGCAGATTATCCGTATCGTAAAACATTTTTATATAATAATTTCACAGAAAATCGCGAATTAAACGGTAACTGTTATACTCTATATAGTCAAATGTACTACCATACATAATAAAATGAACTTTACATTATTAGTTTTTTATTTTTTTTCGTCTTCTATACATATACATGCTATTAAACATTTAAATTATGACATTATGACACTGCTGGAATATCCATGATTACAACGAGTTTAAATTATCCGTTATACATTGGAAAAAACATAAGATGAACTTTTTAAACTCTTATATAAGCATGACTTGTTACGTTTCTTAGTTTTTTTGTTCTTTAGTGATAGAAGAACATAGGTGGAAGATCGCGTTGTGTTTTAGAACTACAACATGGAAATGTTTGTAGAAAATAAAAAATATGAGTTGAACATGATTGCATGTTACATTTTAGATCATATTTTTTTATTATACAAAAAAATGTAATGAAAAAAGTAAGCCTCCATTATAAAAAATAAAAAATTATTATATTGAAAGAAAAACTTCAACACTCAACGCGTATATGAGCGTAACGCGAGCGTTCCGTCTTGTCTTTGACGAATTTCTCAAATATACATTAAAAAAATGTCTTATATAATATTGTACAAAATTCGTTGAGTTTATGTCAAATCCAAGGATGAAAAGAACGTCTCGAAAAGTAAAATCGATTTTAATATTTTTTTTGTTTTTAAAAAATCATATTGTATCACTCGGTCGTCCTCTTTTATAAGAAATTTATCTGTTATAATTCAAGGGAGCTAATTGAACCCTTAATCTGATACAAGAAACTTCACAAAAGAAATTGAGTTTAAAATAACGAAAGACAGATATATGTACTTATGTCTATGCCACGGAAGAGAAAGATTTAATGACAATTTTGAAAGTTATTTTCACAATACCACATATTTTTGACAAAAAAAATTTTTACATAATTTTGAATTACAGTGCTCAATACACTATCACATCTAATAAAAACAATTTTTATAATAAATTTATATCTTTCAGGTGGCTAGCATATTATCAAAATGAAGATGTCATTTAAGCGTACGTGGATAATTTTTAGTTGTATTTTTATTTTTAAGGTAAGTTCTTTATGTTCATTTATTTCATATATATGTAAATAATAGACACAAAAATTAGCACAGTGAGCTCTTTATATAACGAACATCTTTTTTTATGCTCTGTGTACTAAGCAATACGAACAAATCTCGTGGAATTTTCGGTGTTCGTTATATAAAAATTCCACTTTATAAATAAAGGTAAATGCGGTATAACACTGGATTATAACATTCACGGGGGCAAAATCTTAATATGTTAAACATTTTCATTTTACTTACAGCCAATACCAATAGTAATCGCACCATAAAATAATTGAAAGCGCATACCCCGCGTTGAAAGCGCATTAACAAAAAATTGCAATCATTCATTAAAATTGTGCAGTTACACTTAAAAACTACATGGGAAGAACAAATATTTCTATTTTAAAAATATCAATTCATCATCATTGAATATTCAAATAATTTATTTATAGTAATAGTTTGCGATATTATTTTGTATAACCTCGAGTTTCTTACATTGCAATTCAACAATAATTAATAAAAAGTGACCTTTTAACATTTTAATAATAAAAAATCCCATTAAGTCTCCTATTTCATAAAAAATAAAAGAAAAAATTTTTTGTAGACATATTAAAAGATTGCATATTACATCCGGTCAGTCTACAAAGATGAAAATATTTCTCATAAAACTTTCTAACTTTTTAAATAAATTTAAAATTCATATAAGAGGAAAATACAACAAAAAGCATACTTTCAATAAGATTTAATAGAAAATCAAAAGCTGCTGCAACTGAAATTGAAACAAAATTGAAAAAAGCAAAAACCAGGAACATTAAAAATCATAACAAGTTTCATTAACAAGTAAAGAGAAAAAAAAATTAATCCTGATTCCATTTTAAATTACCGTCAATGAACCATTAAAATTAAAAAATGAAGCAGAAAAATACAATAAGAAAACTAAGAAACAGTTCTGTTTTCCTCATAATTTCAGATTCATTCAATCGATTTCCATTACAAATCAGACTTGTTTCATTTTTGTTAATCGAAATTTGTTTTTTGCTTTTTTTTCTTTTTAACAATCTTCTACTTCAGTTATATATAGTTGTACATAACTTTAATAGTTATACAAGATTGTTAGTTCCTTATTTAAATAAGTATTTCATGTTTTTTAATAAATTATTCCGAAGATTGGAATTGATTTGCGTCCAGTTGATAGGTATGTGTGTTTCGATTAAAGAGAAACTTATAAAATCGATTATTATTCTAATCATAATTTCTTTGTGTTTTTGTAACAAGTTTATTTTATATGATTTTTTCGATATTTTTGTTTGAGAAAAACAGATCGGAATCCGAATTCTTATATAGTAGGAATATTAGTCAAAAAGTACGGTAGATGATTGCAATTCAATAATTCACGTTTCATTTCACATAATTTCAGCATTCCAATTCGAAAACTTCAAATCTTAGGAGGATAGAATAAAGTTACATTTGAATTTTTTTTATTGTTTTCATTTAAGTTTACAAAAAATACTTTCATTTTATGTATTGGTCTATAAAAAATTTATAGAAAAACACATAAAATAATTTTGATATTTATAAATATCAAAACAGTATAAATTTCAAACTTTTATCCCCCACTTTACGCAAGGTCTTCGTCATATATAAGTGCATAACATCACTACCAATACCTTCTTATATGTTTATATATATAAGCGTTACTGCTCATGTAATAATTACCATCATCAAATAAATTAAGGCATTAATCAGGCAGGGATTTTTGCGTATAAAGGTGAACACAATGTCTAAAAAAAATGAAAAAAGCAAACAATTTCCAAGCAAAACAACCTTTTAAGCAGACGCAATGATGAAAAGCTGCGCAACCTGAAAGCGTTATAATTTTTTCTCTTATTTTTTTTGTTTACACACACACACTGCAGATTTCAAAAATTTTAAATGGTAATGTTGTGGAAAGCAATAATACCTTTGAATAATTTTTTAACCAAAGTAAAAATATTTCTAGTTTTGGTGCATTGGTTGTTATTACCAAACAAATTTTGCCGCTATTCATAACCATTTGCTTACAGCTTAATACTTATTAACTGCTCAATATTATTTAGCTTTAATTTACTTGGTTGAGAACATATACATACACATTTACGAATATATTTATATGTATGTAGGTTGTAGAAATATGCAGAAACGCAATTTTTTCTGTCTCGTAAACTTTTCTCTTCGATTTTTAGTAACAAGTGAAATACAAAAATAAACAAAAACATAAAAACAACCATAAAAAAACAATGTTAATATTATTAAATGCCACAAGGTAAAAGTGATACTTTACACACGAAAATAACAATAAAATTAGCAAAAAACGAAAGAAGAAAAAAAAACGTGAAACACAGAGAAAAAAAATTGTTTGATTTCTATACCCAGTACCCCACCCTGACCCTGCTCATTTTAACATAATTCAGCATAATCCACACACGTATGTACATAAGCATTTTCAGCATATGGCCTAAGTGAGTTTTAAAGCCGCGCCGCCGTCTTTACTATCTTTATCCTCGTCGCCGTCGATTGCTTATTTTGGTGATAAAATTTTCTTTTCGGTTTTTTGTTTTATTTTCTTTTTTTTGCTTTTAAACTTTCCTAATAGTAGTTTTCTTCGTTTAGAGCGAATCAAAACTCTCACTCCTTTGTACAATAAGAGAAAATTTTCTTAGAAAATTAAAAGAATGAAAATTTTTCCTGGATATTGAAAAATACCGTTTGGTTTATTTTGAAAACAGTTTTGCTTGTTGTGCGCTCGTATTAAAGAAAATGCAGTGTAGAACAACAAAAAAATTTACTGTGCGCGTATTATGCCTTTATTGCTTATCTACATATACACACAAACACACTAATATGCAAAACTCTATTGATGGTAATTTTATCTGATTGCAATTTAATTTGGTTAGTAATAAAGTATAAGTATGTGTATGTGTATTTTTATATGGTTTAAATTTAATTTATAATAGTTACGGGTTCTTGGTCATTAATTTGTTCGCATGTTCATGTTATAAGTTTAGTGAAGTATGAAACGAAAATAAAAGTATTGTACTCGTATACCTTTTGAACTAATACTTGGGAAATGTTAATGAAATAGGCAAAAGAAAGATGGATAATATCGAATTTTTATAAAATGAAATGAAAAAGAAACTATCAATTATGAGCAATAAAAACAGTTTATGGTAAAATTTAATTAGTTTCTGATAACGGTTTATTGCAATACGCGTATATTCAGTGTGTAAAAATATAAAAATTAAATATAGGAAATATAATTTTTATTTTAATTCAACCAATTTTTCATGAACTTCATGTAATTTTCATTTCTTTTTCAAAGAATTAAATATGCAAAATTCTAATAAATGAATATCTTATGAATCAGAGCAATCAAACTGCTTAGGTTTGTTGGTTTAGTAAGTGCTCAGGCAGGCATGCGATCATGCAATTCCAAAGAAAACAAATAGGCAATCAAAGAGTTGCAAAACTAGAAAATGCACATCTGCCTGAGCCCTTAGATAACTCAAACTAAGTTCGATATTCTGCAACAAACTAATAATCATACAAATTGTTGAATTGTTAATGCAAATACAAAATGTTCGAAAAATTTGAATTTTGTAAGTAGCTGCTACTGTAATCAATTCGAATTCTCCCACTTTTTTCTTCGGATAATATTCTCTTTTCGCAGATTTTCCTTAAAAAAGTTCTTCGACAATTTTTCAAGACTTTCTCTTACAATCTATAAGAAGAAAAATTCATTATTTTTGTATTTATTTTATGAGTGTTCAAGCATATCAATTTAAAATTTGTAAAACTAACTCATTTAATCAACGTTTAATTTAATAAAATAAATAGACAGAAATTGTTTTAATTCGTGGTTTTCAGAATGAAGTTAGTTAAGAACTAGTTCCCTATATTAATGTTAAATAACTACTTACATATCCCAGCACTGATAAAAAATGCATTTGTAATGACTGTTAGCATAAAAATTTATACCTTATGCATCGAATGTTCAAAATGGTTTTAGTTTGCATTAGTCTTACTAATTTGAGTTTTGGAATGTTGTAAAGTTTTCTTATAGAAATCATCAGCTTATATTCCATTCACAAATTAAGAAAAATGTTCCACGTTTTTGTTTTTATAAGACGCTCTGAAATCCAAATTTCACAATATGTCATACTGAGTTCTGTGGCTGCAATTACGTACATACTCTCTAAACCAAAATCGACTAGAAAACGGGTAGTCATAACTAGATTGAGTCACTAGATTGGAGTCACTAGGACTCTAGTTGTCAATCTAGTTAGAAAAACGTAACTAGATTCTAGTAAAATTTCTTTACTAGAGTTTCTAGTCATATCCCAGTTAGCTTTACTAGATAGTCTAGGTATTATTACTAGGAGAATTTTTTACTAGAATAACCATTGCGGTAGACGTTTATTCTAGTCAAAACAACTTGAAAAAACCAGTTCGTCAAACTAGGAAAAACTAGATTTGAGTACTAGAAATTTATCGTTACAACTAGTTGAAATATTGTGGTATAACTAGAATCTAGCGCGGTATTCAACTAGAATTTACAGCTCTTGCAACTGGGATTCCCGTGCAAGATTGCTAGATGTAGTTAGCTAGTACAACTCGATTTTATTTAGGCATGCCTAGTATTTTTACTTTGAAATGTGGTCATTACAGCTGGAAAGTAGTTCCTGAAAAAAAAACTGATTTTTAGAAAAAATTTCTACTATTTTAAAATATTTTTTAATACTCAAAAATTTTATTTCTATATTATTTATTTATTTATAAAGATCCAAAATGAGGATATAAATCTAACGTTGTTTTCGTGACCATAAACTGCATTCTTTGATCCCGAGTTCTGTCCGTAACTTCAAATCTTTTTTTTATTTATTTAGGTTCAAGTTTTCAAATCTGTATCAAAATATAAAATGGAAAAAACTTGTTAAAATTTTATCATGAAAATTTGGTGTGAACTT